TAAGCCCAGGGTATATTGGCAACAAATTTTTCAGATAGATAAATAATGTTATGACTACTGCATGTTGAATTGCGAAGATTTCATTTTGGCAACATTTTGCGTGCATCTACACGATATCTAATCAGGATGAAACTCGACAGTGAGTTGATTTTAATTCCTGACTATTGAATTATTTTATTTCTGAAATATCGCCTGGGCGGTTATATGGTCCATTTTGGCCCCCCAATTTTCCCCAAATTTCCATTTTACAGCCCTAGGTGGCTTTCCGGAAAATCCCGGGATCCTTAACTCATTATAATACCTTGCCCCCTGATCACCTTGACACAAATGTTTTACTAACGAGGACACAGGTAGGTCAGCTCTTGTTACCTATTACACACTGAACAACAGAGACGCCAACCAAAATGAAGGCAATTTAGAATATTTACGTAGATCAGATCTCACAAGAATTATCAATAACCATATTGTCACTGTGGCTCTGAACAAAACAAAATCCTCTAAAGATTGTTTTTCATTGCTAAAAAGCAGAAAACTTTCTCATAACGAACTAATTCAGGTGATTATTAATTTGTTGTAAATGTGATGATGGTAAAATTACTTTTGATATTGCGTTAATATTTTACTTTGATGTGTTTGTGACATTTGGTTCATAATATCGGTTGTATTCCAATCAAATCAGCTTTCTTCAGTGAGCTAAACAGAAAATAGAACATGGAAACTGTTTGTTTACAAAACTAAGCCAAGTAAATTAAACCTAGATAATTGGCGATTTAATTACAAGTAACAGACTCTCTTCGACTAACTTATTTCATCTGTTTGGTTGGTATTTTCTAAGTTGGTAAATAACAAGAAAGATGGATGGCAAAGATAATAAAGAAATTATCATCCTTACATCTTACCTTAAATTATCATACTTATATCTTACCTTAAATTATCATACTTATATCTTACCTTTCTTGCAACTTACTTCAGTACTTAAAATGGACAGATTTTTTTACTGCCTCCTGTTTGGTTTTGCATCGTGTCAACACATCAAACGGCACCATGTGGTGGCGCGTGGTCCTGTGCTCAAAGCTCAGGTCACAAATCGGTGAAGTTAAGCACCGTCGAGCTCGGAGAGTCCTTGGATGGGTGACCGTGCTTGGCAGCTTGGCTCCTGAGAGTTTCTAGGACTTCAGTCCTGCCCCACAACGAAGCACATGTGACACATGTGGTCTCACCTTAGGCAAGTGAGTTTTTTCAACATTGTCTCTGTTCACCCAGCAGGAAAATGGGTACCCGGGTGGGATAAGTCATGTGACTATAACCTTCTAGCGCCTAACAGGCAGCTTGGGTTATCCGGGGTAATAATATGTGTGCTGTAGCACCTTGAGCGAGCATTGAATGCACGGATATAGGCGCGGTTACAAATACCCACTATTATGTACTACGTGACCAAGCATAATTTAAAACAACAATAGATGAAAATAGCAAATTGCGTGCACGCTGGTGATGTTCTTTGTTCAGTATTACTTTTTAGATGGGGTATATGAATTAACATTGATTTTAAAGGTTTATACAGGAGGGTCGTCTTACACATCTGTTTGCTTCAACAGTGGTAGGCATAAACAGCGACATAGCGGTACTATATTGAAGGTCTGTGATAGCCACCAGGCTGCACTGCATGATGGGATAGTCCCATGCAGGGAACAGTTCCAATTTGGATTCCTGCAAGTGCTGACCGATGCCGAATTGGACTGAGATGAGAGGAGTGGAATTGCCAGATAATTGTGCCGATGGATCAAGGCACCTGTGACAGCTACTCACAAGAACGATTTGCCTTCACTCAGATGAATAACTCCCTGGAATTTCAAATTGCACCAAAAGTTTGATTCGCAGAGTTACATTATGCTTCTTGAAGCAAAAGAGCAAGCATCAATAAATTCATGAGATTAGATTTAAGGTATGCGAAAAGATGATTACTTTCGATGAACTAAACCGAAAAAATATTGATTTTAAAATCTGAAAATTGAAACTGAAATTTTTAACAAGAGAGTTAAATACTTAAAGAAGTAACGCATTTCAAATTAATCGAATTACAGAATTAGGATTGATTAAAAATAATTTGTTTTATTTGGACATTTTTCGCAGTTCTCAGATGATGCATTGGGCGCGTGTCAGAAAAACCATCAAGACACATTGGCATGCCAATACTTGATGAAGAGGAGGGAGTTTAGACATCTAGTTTTTATATATATTGCTATCAGCAGGGATTTTTATTTCTTGCCTGCCTGGATTGCCACTTTCACGTAATGCCATAACATGATACTTCTTATTTCCCTGCCTGGTGGATTGCATGGTTGTGATAACAAAAGAGCTGGCTGGCTTCCAGTCGGTACAGTGAGTCTGGGTGGGGGATATATAGAGTTAAAACTACAGTCTGGCTGGTATCTTGGTGGGCTAGCATAATAGAAATGACTTTAGTTTGTAACAAAAATAACAGTCACCAAGAAATCTATCGACAAGTGACAAATGTACATCGTCCAGGAATAAAATATCCACAAAAAAACAACAAAAAAACAATTTCAGTCAAGACAAACTTTCTCCCTCCTTCCTTCCTTCTTTCTCTCCCTTTTCCCTCTCTCGCTAGCTCTCTTCTCCTTCCTTCTCTTTCTCTCTCACTGACAGCCCAGTGGGCCAGCATGATAGAAGTGACTACAGTCAAGACAAACTCTCTCCCTCCTTCCTTCCTTCTTTCTTTCCTTCTATCTCCCTCTTTCTTTCCCTTTTGCTCTCTCTCTCTCATCTCTCTTTCTACCTCTGTCACTGGTAACTCACTGGGCTAGCATAATGGAAGTCACTTTAGACAAACCAACTCTGTCCCTCCCTCTTTCTTTCCCTTTTGCTCTCTCTCTTTCTCATCTCTCTTTCTCATCTCTCTTTCTACCTCTGTCACTGGTATCTCACTGGGCTAGCATAATAAAAGTCACTTTAGACAAAACAAACTCTGTCCCTCCCTCTTTCTCTCCCCTTTTACATTTTCTCTCTCTCTCTCAGTCTGTGTCAGTGTGTCTGTCTGTGCCTTGTTGTACTAGTCCTGTCACAAAGACGATAAACGATGCTGAAAAAATTGCCGACTATGCTTGACAAATAGGCTGCAAACGTGAGAGTCCAAGTAAAAGGGGATTAAAAAAAGAGACAAAAATAACTACATGAATCAGGCTGTGCTGTTTTATCTGATTTCCAGACCGACTATGAAGTGGGGCACACTTTCATCAAGGCTGTGAACATGTCTGTGATGAAACCTGTCTCTCGAGATGGCTACATTCCTCATCCTTACTACACCATCTACGCTACATGGGGCGTGTGACAAGACGACCAGCCGACATAATCACAGGGCTTGACCCTGACCCCTTTCTGTCATCGGGCAGTACTTTTACATGATGGACATGACAACATTTGTGCCATACACGAGTCTCTTCGGCTCTGTGGTGGACTGGGGCTCAAGACTTTAAAACATATCACATGTGGAGGGATTTTCTTCGCATCTAAATAAAAATATTTCGCAGGCACACTTTTAAAAAGTTGTCTTGGACTATTTTAATTCCATATTTACTTATATTCTCCAAACGATGAGTGAGTGAGTGAGTGAATGAGTGAGGGGGTGAGTGGGTGAATGACTGGGTGAGTGAGTGAGTGAGTGAGTTTGCATGCCTTTTAGCAATATTCCAGCTATTCCAGAGAGAATCAAACCCTGACCTTCGGCATGGAAGGAAAATACTTTACCCACTCAGCTACACCTTGCCCCTGCTTCACCACAGATGTATTTAACATAATTGTAACCCTGCATTCAATGCAATAATGTAAAACTAAGACTTGGAGCCTCTTCCCCCTTATTTGGTTCTTTTATCAATACCATACGGTATAAGAACGGTATGAAAACGGTATAAGAACCTCTACCGAAACGTCGCTATTGTTAAAATAAAGAAGTTGATCATCCATAAAGTTGTGTCATCTATATAAAAACATGGTTACAACAAAATCAAAGGAACCACAATTTTAGTCCATTATAACCATAGATTGTTTTATGCATTGAGAGAGAGAGAGAAAGAGTGAGTGAATGAGTTTAGTTTTACCACTCGGCAATATTCCAGCTATATGGCGGCGCTCTGTAAATAATCAAGTCTGGATTAGACAATCCAGTGATCAACAGCGCAATTGGGAACCGATGACATGTGTCAACCAAGTCAGCGAGCCTGACCACCCGATCCCGTTAGTCGCCTCTTACGACAAGCATAGTCGCCTTTTGTGGCAAGCATGGGTTGCTGAAGACCTTTTCTACCCCGGATCTTCATGGGTTGAGAGAGAGAGAGAGAGAGAGAGAGAGAGAGAGAGAGAGAGAGAGAGAGAGAGAGAGTGAGAGAAATAGAGATAGAGAGAGAGAGGAGGGGGGGGGGGGAATGGATATACAATCAGTCAGTGGCTCATACCCACCAAAAGGGTTTGTGAGATATCAGTCAGTGTTCATAAACATGTTAGTGAAACTTTGTATACTGTATTAGATTTTCTAAAATTCCTTTCACTGACATTTGCTGCAGGCTAGGGACTGTATATCGGCTTTTGAGTAGGCCTAGTAAAGCTATGAATACTGGTGACATTTCTTAACATTAGCACCAAAATTGGACTGCAGACCAAAGTACAACTAGATTCTTAAAAGTCCCCTTCACGTGTGTGTTTCTCGAATCAAGTTGGTTGTATGACTTCAAACCACCGTAAATTGTCCACAAGAACTGATTCACACAGCAGGTGTTTCAGCTCACGTTGTAAATTTGAATTTATTTCCAGCAATCTGGTTATTTAGAGGGAAAGCTTCGAGTAGCTGGAGGCAGGCCCGGATACATCACAGGAACTCAGAACAGACATGTCACAGTAAACGAGGGCACACAACCACCTCGTAGCACAAGCTGCATTTGAGCGTTCGTTTCTTGTTTGTGACTTATTCAATAAACATTGATCTATTTTCTAAATTTTCTATCCTCAATAATAATTTTGGTCCAAACTGACTTTGTTGTTTAACTTCTTTGAGAGGTATATTAGAAGTTGTATAGAGGAAAGAAAACCAAGTTCTATGGATAGTCACCTCGTTTATTGCAATGAGTGTGATGCTTTGGTGTAGATACTAACACCTTTATCAAGCATGGTGTAGATACTAACACCTTTATCAAGCATGGTGTAGATACTAACACCTTTATCAAGCATGGTGTAGATACTAACACCTTTATCAAGCATGGTGTAGATACTAACACCTTTATCAAGCATGGTGTAGATACTAACACCTTTATCCTTTATCAAGCATGGTGTAGATACTAACACCTTTATCAAGCATGGTGTAGATACTAACACCTTTATCAAGCATGGTGTAGATACTAACACCTTTATCAAGCATGGTGTAGATACTAACACCTTTATCAAGCATGGTGTAGATACTAACACCTTCATCAAGCATGGTGTAGATACTAACACCTTTATCAAGCATGGTGTAGATACTAACACCTTTATCAAGCATGGTGTAGATACTAACACCTTGTATCAACAGCATGGTGTAGATACTAACACCTTCATCAAGCATGGTGTAGATACTAACACCTGTGTAGATATTAACACCTTTATCAAGCATGGTGTAGATACTAACACCTTTATCAAGCATGGTGTAGATACTAACACCTTTATCAAGCATGGTGTAGATACTAACACCTTTATCAAGCATGGTGTAGATACTAACACCTTTATCAAGCATGGTGTAGATACTAACACCTTTATCAAGCATGCATGGTGTAGAGATACTAACACCTTTATCAAGCATGGTGTAGATACTAACACCTTCGCAAGCATGGTGTAGATACTAACACCTTTATCAAGCATGGTGTAGATACTAACACCTTTATCGCATGGTGTAGATATGGTTTATCAAGCATAGATACTAAACACCTTTATCAAGCATGGTGTGTAGATACCTTTTACACCTTCATCAAGCATGGTGTAGATACTAACACCTTTATCAAGCATGGTGTAGATACTAACACCTTTATCAAGCATGGTGTAGATACTAACACCTTTATCAAGCATGGTGTAGATACTAACACCTTTATCAAGCATGGTGTAGATACTAACACCTTTATCAAGCATGGTGTAGATACTAACACCTTTATCAAGCATGGTGTAGATACTAACACCTTTATCAAACTATGTAGATAAACTAACACTTTATCAAGCATGGTGTAGATAATGCTAACACCTTTATCAAGCATGGTAGATACTAACACCTTTATCAAGCATGGTGTAGATACTAACACCTTCATCAAGCATGGTGTAGATACTAACACCTTTATCAAGCATGGTGTAGATACTAACACCTTTATCAAGCATGGTGTAGATACTAACACCTTTATGCAACACATGGTGTAGATACTAACACCTTTATCAATGGTGCATGGTGTAGATACTAACACCTTTATCAAGCATGGTTTATCAAGCCTTTATCAAGTGTGTAGATACTAACACCTTTATCAAGCATGGTGTAGATACTAACACCTTTATCAAGCATGGTGTAGATACTAACACCTTTATCAAGCATGGTGTAGATACTAACACCTTTATCAAGCATGGTGTAGATACTAACACCTTTATCAAGCATGGTGTAGATACTAACACCTTTATCAAGCATGGTGTAGATATTAACACCTTTATCAAGCATGGTGTAGATACTAACACCTTTATCAAGCATGGTGTAGATACTAACACCTTTATCAAGCATGGTGTAGATATTAACACCTTTATCAAGCATGGTGTAGATACTAACACCTTTATCAAGCATGGTGTAGATATTAACACCTTTATCAAGCATGATGTAGATACTAACACCTTCGTCAAGCATGGTGTAGATATTAACACCTTTATCAAGCATGGTGTAGATATTAACACCTTTATCAAGCATGGTGTAGATACTAACACCTTTATCAAGCATGGTGTAGATACTAACACCTTTATCAAGCATGCCGAAGATACTAACACCTTTATCAAGCAACTTGCTGGATAAACACCACATTCATTGCAAAAAAGAAGTTGACAGTTCATAAAACTTGGTTTTCCTTTGCTGTTTAACACCACAAAAATCCAATTGATTCCGGTATGACAACCAATCCACCAAGGTATTTATTCTAACATCTTTTGGTATGACACTGCCAGGGTTCAAACTACAGACCTTCCACTCTCTGGGCAAACACTCTATCCACTAGGCCACTGTGCATATGTTATTCTCATCACATAACCTATGTAACATTCATAAACACAAGTTTGTGGGATAATACTCAGTATTTTGAGTCTAAACTCATGTTAATATTGTCTTAACATTGAATATACTATCTCAAATAAACACATGTTATTCTTGCCATATACCTTATGTAACATTGATAAAACCCCAACTTGTGAGATAATACTTAGTATTTCATTCACATCCTGTCTAAACTCAAGTTAGAGTGAGTGAGTTTAGTTTTACGCCACACTCAGCAATATTCCAGCTATATGGCAGCGGTCTGTAAATAATCGAGTCTGGACCACACAATCCAGTGATCAACAGCATGAGCATCGATCAGCGCAATTGGGAACCGATGAACAGTGTGTCAACCAAGTCAGCGAGCCTGACCAACCGATCACGCTAGTCTCCTCTTACGAGAAGCATGGGTTAATGAAGATCACTATTCTAACCCGGACCTTCACGGGTAAACTCATGTTAGTATTGTCTTAACATTGAATATACTATTTCCAATGAACATAAACAAATATTAAGTCAAAATACTGACAACAAGAATTCAGAAATAAACTCAACCTACCATCTTATCTTCCTTATTGTCCACGAACCAGTCTGAAAGATTCGGAAAAGTACGGCCAATCTATCCATAATGAAATATCCATACCTGTAGCCATGGTCACTGACCTTCAATGACCCCACAGATACAGATAGCGCTAACTGGCATGGTTACTGGCACTGGCACTGGCTTACAGGCGGCAGACGGTTTCAAATGAACTGTCATATTCCAGAGTAGATTCAACAGGGATCATCTTATAACAATTTACAAATAAAGCTAAGAATATTCTTCCCAAACTGGCAATTTGAAAAATGACATTCTTCATTTTGAGACGGACCCTTGTGGTTGTTGCAGAGGGCTAGCTATGGTAATGGAACGTTAATATGGTATTGTTTTAAATGATCTACTTAAATACAGATAATGTCAGAAAACACTGGTAAATTATGTAGGGAGTCTGCATGGCATAACCAGGAGAGTGTAAGGGACGGGGGATTTATTGGGTGGAGGTGATGGAGACTGTGAGATTGGTCTTCAGACTATCACACTTTTCTGCCTCCACCCCACCCCCTTTCTTGTTTTATGTAACACTTCATGATGGCTTCAGCTAAAGCATTTACATTTTCTTTATACAAAGCTTTCTAAAGGATGGAGTGGAAGAAAGCTGTCTACTTCACATCTATCATATACAGGTCATGGGAAGATGGGGACTGGAGAGGTCATAGGAAGATATGGACTGGATAGGATTTTATGGAAAGATCAGGGTTGGACAGGTCATGGGAAGATCAGGGTTGGACAGGTCATGGGAAGATCATGACTGGACAGGTCATGGGAAGATGGGGGCTAGACAGGTCATGCATGGGAAGATCACGACTGGACAGGTCATGGGAAGATCAAGGTTGGACAGGTCATGCATGGGAAGCTCAGGGTGAGACAGGTCATGGGAAGCGCAGGGCTAGACAGGTCATGGGAAGATCAGGGCTAGACAGGTCATGGGAAGATCAGGGCTAGACAGGTCATGGGAAGCTCAGGGTTGGACAGGTCATGGGAAGATCAGGACTGGACAGCTTGCCATGCAGCTGGAATGTCTCAAGGTTTTCCATATAGTTGAGTTGAAACAAGTTCTCAATCATAATGAATTGAGGTATGTCAGCAACAGATCTTTCGCAATTTATGAAGAGTAACTTAACCTGCTAATTGATGATTTGAGGATACATCACAAACCAGCTGGATACAGATAAAACACACCCTAAGTAACAATACCTTCAACATGGGCCAGCCAACATCACTGAAGCAAACAGGAACTAAGCTTTTAACAAATATCTGTCATTGTGAAGCAACACAACTAGTGATAAAAGTTTAACATAAATTTTATAACACGAAATGCCCATCCCTGCAATAGTACACGCAGCATAGTTGTCTCCTATACATCCTTATGATAGTGATATACAACATGCACAATGCAATATAATAACAATCTAGGAAAAGAGTGAACAGAGCAAGAATGAAAACGTGACGTCACGAGAGTGTGACGTCACCGGTGTAATAGTACACGTTGGCGCTTCACATGACAACTATGAAGCAAACATTGCGCAAACAATAATCTGAGTACCTCAACAGAGAATCTAACACTCGATTCCTTTAATATGAAACATAAATCATCACGAAAAATACAAGTTTCCAATGCAGCTGCTTCTTGAGGAGTTACTAACTTTTATCCATGAGTGTCGATGCATATGCAATGAAAAACACTTGTGTGAGATTCTATTCATCATCCAAAATCCTTCTTCAAACTGTTTCAGCGTTGTACCTAATGTCTCTACACCCAGATATCCAGTACCTGAGAGATCAGTGATGTTATTTCATTGTGATGTCATGGTAACAGATGATATCACTACAATCTGCAAAGCATTGGGATAACGTTTTATGTAAGTCAGTTTCGGATGATAAAATATTTCCTGTTCTGAACAGAGAACTTCACAAAGTGATCAAACTTGATAATTCCAATCAACAACATTAAGGCAACAGTATCTTCGGAAATCAGAAAACCAACATTATTGAAGCAAAAACTGTACAAAACCAGAAAACACAAAATAGCTTACCTCTCATTCGGACAACCCCACAAAAATATCCACCTTGATAATTTCCATGAAAACGGAAGGAATTCCC